GCAAACTGATTGATAAAAAAAATCTCATCTTTGGGGTACTATTTTAAGCATTTCCTTGAGCAACATTGTGCTACCAACATATTCCAATGAGTTATTAGATATTTGTCTTCATCATTAGCCTACTGCCGTCCACTGTTAAACGAAGGATTTGTACTTAATGTAAGAAATTTACACGTAGACAGCTTACAAGTGCAACATAATTTAACTGAACTTGTATGATTTATCACGTAATTTTAGCCTGTATTAGAAATGAAAAAGTACAACTCACAGGTTTTTTGAGAATTATTTTAAAATTATAATATTTACCACAAAAATTTAAATGTACAGCTAAAGTAAATGTTTTTATCTACAAAAGAAGGTATTCAAATTTAACCTAACTTACTTAGATCGCAAACTAGAAATGTTTAAATCCTGTAAAGTGTTGATTTTCTACTTGTATAACTTTTCACAGGAGGCACGGAAATGTATACTCGTATATACATCGTTTTATTTTTTAATACATATCAAAGAAACATTGATCAATATAATTATTTATCAATAATCAATAAATCAAAATAAAATAAATATCAGTAATTCAGAATTCAGATCATCAAACTATTTTATCAATCAACGTCCCAACCCTGTCCCATTACTATGTTTCGGTGCATTCTAAGTTTGACCTTAAAATATCCAATCACAGCGCATGTGACACGTCCCCCGTAACCTATGCTTACCGCCGAATTTGGTGAACTCTAATCGGAACAAATATGGTATATGATTGGATTACCGCACTGAGAAAAATTGAGTAATCTGTGAGGAATTTACATTCTCGGGTTACAATAAAGAAACAAGTATAATATTCTCATACATCATAAAATTACCCTGTTTAATCATACTTCGGTTAGTTCGACTAATTGCTCTGCTTCTAGTGGGGCCCATAGCAAAAAAAGCTGAATTTAAATTATTAACAATTCATCATATCACAGACTAGTGCGCACGAAATTGTAGAGCCATTACACTATAAGTTTATTTTTACTTTTTCTGTGGTATAAGTGTCAGACGAGAGGATGGTGATGATAAGTGACTACCACCGCCTATGGATACATATATATACACAAGTGTATTGCCGCCCTTCGAGTGCCCCCCAGAGTTAAAGCGGGGTTGGTCCTCCTTTTTTTTAAAGTTGAACCGACTTCAAGCAATACTAACAAAGAGCACTAAAAACCTAAAAGCAATCGCGGTTCATTTGCTGTCATTTTTTGAAGAGTTCTCTCTCTCTCTCTCTCTCTTCGAAACTCATTATAGAATAAAAAACCAGCTTATCATCAGGGCCTCAATTCTACTATTCTAATATTGTATCAATAGACTGTCGATGGAATGTCGTCGGAACGTGCGTGATAACTGAGGGACCATACTTGTATTTCGTTAAATAAAAGTTATATGATTTACTAGTAGACTTAAAACAATTGTAGAACAAATCTGGGAATTTGTAAAAAAATATTTAAAAAACTACAGCTCTTAAAGTGCGGTCCCTCAGTTCTCACAGATCATCAGCCAGATCTCGGAAAATATACGAAAAATTAAGATATTGTGACTACAGACATTTAGTAAAGAATTTGTAAAGATATTTACTAAATAACAGACCACATACCATCAAAGATAAAAAAAATATGACGACTAAACTGTGGTGCCTCATTCCGCACAAGAAACATTAATATTTTAGTAAATATTACCAAATCAAATCAATAAATTCTTTCTATTTCTACATGAAGATTTAGTAAGAGTCTTAAATAAAACATTTTGTAAAAAAGAAATGAAATAAAAATATTGACGCAATACGAGGAGAGCGACTGGTCTGGACTGGTCCCTCAATCCTCACCTCTGCTGACACATGTACATATACTAGCTTCTTTACAAGAGAAATATCAAAAGTCTAGTTTATTTAACTTTTAGTAAAATGTTTCTACTAAATAATAGGGATTTAAAAGTGTATATTTCTTATCTTTTAGTTGAGATACTACTATCTTTTTATTCCTATGTGTAACGTATTATGGATCAATTGTTTTTGTTTTTATAGCACCTGTTTTGTGCAGGGAATGTAAAACTGTTAGTTTATAATAGTTCCTATTACATCGTCGGCAATATAGCACCGTGAATTGTCTAATTGATGTGCGCATCGACCACGCTCCACTTATCCGAGTACCTCCTCCAGATTTCTAGACCAGTTTCTAGACTTGTCGGCATCAATTTAAACTCGGTTTCCTGTCCCTTGTTTTTAACCAGATTTCACTTTATTATAATAGTTTAATCTGAATTATTAGAAATAGTTAAAGTATGCTTTCAATAATTTAGTTTAATTTTTTTTATTAATCCTTTAAAACGTTCTTTCTCCACGCCTGTCCGTCTAATCAAGCGATAATTATTTTCTGACATGTACATAAACTTCGAAAGGTCAGATGTGCATGACCAGCCATCGAACTCGAACGCGAGACGCGAGACGCTATTCAACTACTAGGCTATTAGTGACCTTTTTATTAGAGTTTTCACTAACGAAAATCACGTGATTTATTCACAACATACTGTTTAAAAAAAAATTGGTAAAAGTCATCAAAATTTGATAGAACTTTATTGCATGAAATTAAAGGTAACAGTCGAAACGTCGCGTCGGAAAATAAATGTCAATAAAGCAGTATGTGCGATTAAGACCGGATGGCATGTTGTTTTTAATGCAATATGTGTACAAATTTTGAAAGTTTAAAAAAGTTTATTGATCTGCATCTGTCTCTTAAGCATCTTAATAAGTAATAAATCTAGAGAAAGTTTTATGTTTCATGCATGCATTGCACCATTCCACGCTTAAATTTAATAATAATATATACCCATTACCGAAATGTTTATTTCTCATTTTGAAATAATTTCATTTGTAATAAAATATATTATTTCATAATGTATTACAAAAATATATTTGGAACATTACAAATTTAACGTAACGTTCAATTACATTGTCTATTGCCATTATGTTATTGCATCGTAAAACTATAGACCTACCAATTAACCTTAATGTGCGGTTACATCCAGTATTTTACCTTTAATTTTACCAAACTGAACGAAATCTTTCTGTAGTTTCGTTATTAAGGGCTCATTTACAACTTTTTGTTCGATTGGACTAAAAATACGGTACTTCTTATAAAACGTACATCAAAAGGTATTTCATATCTTTCTTGTGAAAATAATAAACTTAGTAGTAGTAGTTCTTATAAAATAATAACTTAGTTCTATGGAATCTCGAAAAATGAACCGAATCATTTTTAGGATTGCCATAACTATAGATGCGATGGATGGATTTAAAAAAGAAAATTTATAGCTTTTCCACCATTCTGCCAGCGTGTGCTCTGTGTTCTGAAGCATCCTTTACCAGTGATCACCTGCGTCGGCCGGTATGAGAGGGTTCCGTATTGCCTCTCGAGCCTATCCTCCATAATGGGTCTTACCGTCGCAATAACAGCGTGCCCGTGGGTGAAGAATATCCTAGCACTCTTGATTATAAGCCTATTTCCTACCTTACAGTTCGATTCCACATTATCCGATTAGACATGTCTATTGTAGAAAGGGACTTTATGATTTCCCATTAGTTCGACGTCATCAAACAGGCGGCTAAACGTTTATTTCTGTTAAATATAATAATAATACTAAAACATTGGACCCAAAACATTGGACCTTTGTTTAAAAACATTGGACCCAAATGTCTCATCACCAATCGTAAATAAATACTACTTTACTATCCTAATCTTTCGCATTCTGTTACTGGAATAAGCATGTTAGACTTCGGTAATGTTTGTTTATGGTAACACAATAGTGAAATTTTTAAAAAGACGTAAATGAGCACAAGTTCTATTGTTGTGAACACAAAAAGAATGCTTCTAACTTAAACTTGTCAATTGCCTAGTATTTGCTATACACACCTGCATTTCCTGTAATTTTCTCTGCACTTTAAGCAGCATTTCCGTGTAATGTCGATAGCTGAAAAAACTAATTCTTCGCTGATTCTGGTATATACTCTACCAAAACACTTCATACTACGTTGTGAAATTACCGTTTTGTAAGTCCCTAATAAGCCTATTCACCAGATCGCATTTGCACGTGAAAGTTTTGCTAAATTGATTTTTTGGTATTAAATCTTAATATGTTTAAATTTTAAAATTGACATTAACTTTTAAAAACCTATCGGTAACTTTCTCGCGCCTATATCATACACTAAATCATTCTCTATCTTCTTACATAAGTATTTGGTAGAATTTGTACGAGGAGAACTCAAAAGGCACATAATTAATGAATATTTGTTTTTTTTATGGGTATGTTACGCGATTTCTCCGCTGTATGTGTATAGATTTCAATGCTTCTATTTTAATTGTAATGTTCTAGTTTAATGTAATAACTGCAAATATTTCACTATAATTTTAATGTATCATGACTTCACCTGTAAGTTAAACTGTATTTTTATGAAGTAAATTAATTGAGTTAATAATATTCATTTTCAGTAATTATAAATTGGAAAAAACACATAAATGTACTAGATATCTTAGTGAAATCGGTCAAAATTTAGTTAGAAGTTAAGGCCCTTAAATATCCTGACTAGATCTAACTACAAGACTTATTCGCTTTTATAGATAGTACAGATTACATCCATTTCATAAACGTAATTATAACTGGGCTTATTCGCTAATGCAGAGGTATTTAATGACACACAAACGTAGTAGCTTTGCTTATTATAAACACTCCTCGCATGGTACGACTGTTGAGTTTTGTCGTAAATCGAGGTTTTTTTTTGTAAATAAAAGATACTTTTGATAAACATAAAATTACGTACACCTACGAATATACATTGGACTATGAACCAAAACAATATTTGGCTCTAAAGATTATAATCTAAAACATAGTATGATATTTTATGATATTAATGTAGTCAACTTCTTGTAACCATTCTCATTACCTAAACTAAACTAAAAATAAAATGATCATACCTGCTCATAATCAGATGTTCCTTTATCCAAAATTCTGGGTCTTAGATCATGTCGATACTCCGTTTCTAAATCCTCTTCAACACAATGTACAATGATTACCAAAGCAGCCAGTGTAGTCAGTAAAGGCATTGCAGATTTCCAAATCAAACCCATATTATTTCAACAGAAAGTATGAATCTCGAACGCTCTATTATAGTACGTCTAAAAGTATTAAAACACAATTCTGACACTGCACTTAATTAGTTCTAAGTCCACAAACTATTTGATGCAATTATCGAAGCACAATTGGCAACAGAATAAAACGAAGTTGCAGAAAAATAGAAAATGAAGGAATCGAAGATAAGGAAACAGAAGTAGAACAATAGAAATCTTCCAATTTTAGGTGGGGTCTTTATCTTATCGTCTATTTTTCTAACCGCGTCCACTAGTTTATGGAGTAATTAAATTTTTACTTATTTTCACATTATGATTGTCTTTTGTAATTAATCCCACACCCGCGGCTGTTGCTTCTTGCGACTCCGCGATTATAATATATTATTTAATAATACATGCGAGATTTCTTTTCAAGATTCCCGCGCTTTTTATTTCTAAACGTGAAAGTGATAATTGTAGGTGTGTTCGCGGCACACGTTTACCCGCGACAGCTCAGCGCGTTCGAGTGGTATCTGAGCTAAACGACTAATGCACAGTACTCCCGCTATAATTTTTACTTTTTTTACGCTTTTGTATCAACAGCATTTTGTGTTTTTCAACATTGTGCAGTTGCGTTTCAAATGTTCGATTGTACATCGATAAAATCATTGGTACTCGATATTTATTTTACTGAATATTCCTGTTATAGTCTTCAACACGATATCAAGCGATTATTAACATCTATCTAAAAGATATAATTTAAGCACCTTGGATGGCAAGCGCCGTCGGTCTAGCGATACTGATACTCATGCATAGTGCTTATGTAATAACACCAGCTATATCCTTATACCGTCAGTTCATATGAAATACTACATTAAGATGTGTGTTTTTATGAACTAACAAAATCACTATTCTATTATAGTCCTTCTAAGATTTGTTAGTGATACTAGGATAGTCTTGTACAATATTAAAAACCAAGTATTTAAAAGATCCCAGAAAACAAGCACTCGCTTAGCATGAATGTATGTGTGTGGTATTGTGTGACGGACATCAACCTTGATACTTGACTTTCATTAAGAATATACACATTTACATATTTTTTAGTTTTCTTAATTTCAAATTGTAGATGTAGAGAGTGGGCAAGATAATTAACAACATTATCATTACAATGAAATATTACCGTATTCATTACTTACTTTGAACTCAGGTGTAACACAAAATGAAGTTTTGCAAATAAGTAAGTGATAAAATTACCTATAGGGCGTAATTACCTATATAAATGAGATAATGCATATAAGCACAAGAGAGGGTGCGAGCAGGTTCTCGAACTCAGTGTTTAGAACCCTACAGTGCTATAATTAAATGAACTATTTCGAGACCTTTACATACCTACCCTTATTTATATCTGACTATGGTCTTATATCTACACAATCTGACAAAAGTTGAAAACTACAACTTATTTATGAAAAATACATTTTGCCTAGAAATTATAAATTTTTGTATTATTCATCCTCAGCCTTTACTAGTCCACTGCTGGATATAGGTCTCTCCTTAGAAAGGAGGTTTTGGCCTATTAATATTATTTACTGAACATCTAAAAACGATTTCTCCATTTCTAGACAACCAAAAACATGAAAAAATCGATTTTTTGGCAATTTTGTTTTTTAATAGACTAGGTTTCAGCCCCGTAAAGAAAGATTGGAGACAAGAGGCACTTCATCAAGCGAACCTTTGTGTTCTTGGTAATTCTCCTGTCTTTCAAAATCTTTCCTAGCTGTTGTACTGCTGACCTGGTGATGGCGCATCTACACTTGATCTCGTCTTCGCATCCTCCAACGTTCAAGATAGTGGAACTCACTACGTCTGCATCTTCTTGTCAGGCTGATCATAACCTTGGTCTTGTCTCCGTTTAAAACAAGTCCAAATCCGAGACTAGTTGTTTTTGATGATTCAAAAGTTCTTCTAGATCTTTAGATCTGGTATAAATTTCAACTTGCTAGGTCTACCCGATCCTGAGAAAATCTGTGGTGACACACGGACAGACGGACAAGAAAGTGATCTTATGAGGGTTCCTATTTTACCTTTTGAGGTACGGAACCCTAAAAAAGAAAAAGTTAGTAGGTATATGACAAACGATAAAATCAGAGGACTAGTACGAGTATTATAAAATGATCACACATGACCGCTGAGTGAACCGAACCGCGTACAGTGATCTCAACTTCAGACGAACATAAATATCTGAAGTCAGTTTAAAAAAACATATTTTGAGTTTATTTGAATTAATTGGGAATGTACGGGCAAATAATTCAATGTAAATTTTAACCATGTTACAATGTTATTGCTATATGGATGGATGTTTCATATGTAACCATCCTCAGGATTTGTCGAGTGATTTTAGCCGGGTCGGAAAGTAGTTTCATTAGTAGTATTCACAAGATTTCAATTGTAACATGGTCTTGCCGCTAAATAAGAACTCGTTTCTTTTGTAGGAAAAATGAACTTGCCCTTACACTTTTCACATGTATATTTTTGATCTGATCAGAATATTATGTGAAACGGAATGTGCTCATGCGCCGCGCCGCCTCCCCGGCGGTATGCGAGCGCAACCAACCCGAGACGATAACATGCGAGAAGATTACTGACGATTGTTCGTCAATCATACATTTAATTAAGTACATATTTGTATATTTGTCATTAATATAATTATTATATTGCAAAAAAATACATGACACATGTAATATTTAGGTGTCTATAGCACATGGTATCCTAGTTCGGGCTCCTAACTCCCACTGATATTGAAAATTTCAAACGCTATCATGTAAACATTAATGTACATGTAAAACCTTTGTAAAATATTTTTGTTTTTTTTTTTGTAAATTTTTAATGTTTCAATAGATATAATTTAGTCGGCTAGTGACGTCTTCAATTCTAATATATGATTTCGCACCAGTGCGATTCATGATTCTATTGTCGTAGTATTATTACCTTTTTTCATTAATTATAACCCATTTAAAATCCTCTAATTGTTGCCTTAGTATAATAAGTAAAGACGATAGCATAAATGTTTTTAAATTGTTACAGAAACATCGAAAAACAAAACGGAATAACTTTTTAAGCTGTGTTATGTTGTAAATGCATTTGAAATTTTAACCGACTTCAAAAAGGAGGAGATTATCAATTCGGATGTTTTTTTTTATGTATGTTCGTTCGAGCATAACTACGTCATATATAGACGGATTTTTTATATTTTTTTTGTCCGAAATCTGTTTATTTCGAAATGGTCCCATTTAAATTTCATATAGATCTGTTGATAAGTTTCGGAGACAGCCTACGGAACTCTTCAAAACATGACAGCAAATCAACCGCCATTGCTGCTAGATGTTTAGTGCTCTTTGTTAGTATTGTTTGAAGTTAGTTTTACCTTTTTTAGAAAGGATTTATTAAATCCAAGTAGAATATACAATATCTATCAAGCCGGCCACTATTAAAAATCGGCTATTTTAATGATAAGAGTACCTATTAGTTTAGGAAATATGAATATTTCGTGAAGAATCTGTGCGTTGAGGTGTTGAAAAGTTGGAGTGTTATTGTGTTACCGCTTTTGACACTGCTCCTATAGTGTAAAGATACAGAAATAGACCTACTTGCTTAAATGGGAAATTATTAACTTTTGTAAATCTTCTAAAAACTGTACATTTCCATATTTTCACTATTTTCATTATCCGTCAGTCGTATATCGTTAGACTCCTAATGATTATAAAGTAATTACTGGAATAAACCATAGAGCGGAGTTACATAAAATATTGCGTAATAGTTAATTCCCCGCAAACGCTTGTTAGATGCGCATAAAAAGTGTGTATTTCGTAATATTTATGTTCGTTTACAATTGTTTGTTGTACTATCATTTTAGAATGTATTTAAGCGAAACAAATAATTCCATGGATTTATCGATTAGTAATTGAATAATTTAAACTGCCGCGATCATTTAAAACGTTTTTATATACTTACTTCCGTTGAAAAATCGTTGTGTAGTGAAATTTTCCGCACAACGTCGCGATAAACTAACTATTTGAATTTTCACGCCTGCTTGCGCACCGACATGGCATTTCTCTCGATCTGTTTTCTAACATTAATCTGTTAAATTTCATTGTGCAATTGTGAACAGGAGATTCTGAATTACATAACCAACGCAAAGTAACGCAACCATAATATGAGGTATAAAACCAGTTGTCATGGTTTGTAGAGCTTTTCACTGTTCATTAACACACTTAATGCTCGTACAATGACATAAAGATTATTTAACTCTCATCGTCAATGAGAGTTTAATATAGCGCATTTCATAGTGCTTCAATAACATTCTTGTATATGACACTTAGAACAGATTTTTGTATATGACACTTAGAACAGAAGACCCCATTGTGCTATATTTTGCACAAAGAATTTTCTTCATGTATTTATATATGAGTAGATCAAATCGCTCACACAAACACTTTTGGTATCAGTGACAATCAATCATACATACATATTGGTTTCAAAATGTCTACACCGCAACAGCTTTTATGGATAATGTTCAAAATCTAATGTTGTGTTATAGGTGATTGTTAACATCATCATTTCTCATGGGACGACTCTTACTTTTCACTAAGTTTACCTGCATATTCCACTTCTCGCCGGTGCCTAGAAAGCTGTGTCACATCTACACAAACATAAAACATTTAGTTATACAATTATTTTTGTACTGTAAAATACAAAAATGAATATTACTTTGTCTGGGTGTACTTTGTGTCCGTTTCATGTATGTTTGTAAAGTCCCCCGCGACAGGATTTATCCTAGAGCGGGAGTTGTTTTTTAAAGAAAAACTTAAAATAAAACTAAACTAAACACTTTTTGTAAAATGTACTGCTAAAACTAATATTTACAAAAAATGCTAGTATTTAAAAAAGATCGGTTAATATCGAATAAGAAAAAAAAATTCGCCATGACGACGATAAAAAGTTAATTGTGTAGACCGAGAATAAGTCTCATGAATACATTAAAAGAGAAATTCGGTATGATATTGTCTAAGCTAATCGCACTGAATCGAGTAAAGTAGAAAGGAAGCTGCCTCTTTACCCTGAGAAAAGTTAATTCCAAAAGTAACTTTTTAAAATAGTCTAACGTATCGTAATAAATTATAATAAGCTGCATTCTTTATTTTGCCCCAATAAATAGAGGTATAATACTCGTACTTTGTTCAAATTGAAATAAGACCAACCTTGAGTACAATTAATTCAAAAGGAAATTATTGAATTCGGGTCACAAATAGTGGAAAATCTGATCCTTTTTGATGTTGGCTAAAATATTAAAACATCAGCAACATCTGCTATTAACATCTTTCTTTACCAAGTACCTGCGTACTATGTATATTATAAGGTTTACATCGTGCATGCCACAACTACTTTGTGTGCGCTAGCGCTTATGAGTCACTAGTGAGATCGCAGTGTTAACAAAAAGCTCGTCACAGAAATACATCAAGCAATCTGCCCATGCAACAAATCATTTCGATATCGTACAATCATATTACATGCTATATATAAATGATATGATAGTAAATTATGATTTGGACAGTCTCTCTATTGAAGAAAGCGATAATTTTGATGTTTACACAGCTACAAATGATTTTTTTGTCCAATGTATAAGAAAAAACCACGTTGACATATAATCAAGTCATATTTACATCTTGCCCCTTTTGTTTTCCGTGTGGAAGTCCCCTCGGATACCACCTATCGGTGCCATGCTTCTGCTAGGGTGACAGATGGCCTCACCTGTCACCCCCAGGCCTGCGCTTATGGAGGACGGAGGTCGTTCTGTGACCTCCGGCGCCTGAGTCGCCTGCGGTACATGGCCCGTTCCCGGGCCTGGCCTAGAGTTCTATACCTCTCCCGGTCCCGCTCCGACGTCTCCTTCGCGAGCATAACTTGCTCGCAGAAGGAGATGGCAGAGTTCCACGCACTCTCGCTCCGCACGATAGCCGCAATCAGGCTATCGAGCGAGAGAACTCCCACTCCGATGGCCGCCACGAGGTCTCGCCTCTGCTCAACCCACGCCGGGCACTCTGCCAACGTGTGGAGAGCCGTGTCCACGGTCTGGCCATCGCAGTGGTGGCACTCAGGCGTTGGCACCTTGCGGATCAGACACAGGTGATCCCCGAAACATTATTTCCCAGTGATCACCTGCGTCAGACGGTATGAGAGGGTCCCGTGACACCTCTCGAGCCAATCCTCCATAACGGGTCTTACCGCCGCGATGACGGCATTCCCGGCGCTCGGTTGCCCGAGTCGTTCCCTCCACTCCCCTATGATGACCTGACTCCCCTATGACGATTTCTCGAATCTCGGGACACCGACCCAACTCCCGCGCCTCCTTGCGCCACTGATACAGAGCCTCAAGGGCTCTCGCCTCCAATTCCCACGGTGGAGTTCCGGCCAGGAGACTCGCCGCCTCAAAGGGCCGCCGCCCATACTGGGCACCCGTAAAGGGCCATGGACCGCACAACCCCCGAGTAGAGTCTCCTGCAGGATTTACATCTTGCCCTACTCTAGTCATATATAAAAGAAGGCAACAAACAAATAAAATGTAATAATACAATCTAAAAGGCTATAGAAATAACTGACTGTATTGAAATACCGAAGATCAGTCAAAGATGACACGAATTTTAACATTATGATCTCATCATGTTTAACGGATATGCTTCTTTTGGTACTGCATACGAATTATTTGTCGACAACAATCAACACGTCACGTCATTGGATGAAGTGATAGTATTTACAGTACAAACTTTTTACAGTTACAAAGCTATTTAATACAGAGTTATGGATAGTAGGTATGCCTTATGCAAAGAGTATAGGTAAGTAAAAATAAATTGTATTGAGCATTGGGTCTACTTCAACTCTCTTGCATTCGATACCGGGCTACACCGTGCTCCGATTACTTTGCCAACATGAAACATTCGTGAATATGCCTTCTCAAAAATTTTCGGCATCAATACCGGCCGTCTGGAGACGACTTCTTTTAAATTTGACATCTATCAGTCTAGCTTTATACTACTTAGGTACTATATGAACTCTTAGACGCTTAATACACACGTATTATGCTCTTGCTACAAATCGCCATTGTGCCTAATTACAAAGTCTCCAATTTGATACTACTGTGTCCGTTGCTTCCTTGTGTTGGCACGATGGTAGTAGAGTTGCGATGGCATTATAAGGAGTTTTTCGGTTACTAAATGTATTTAAAAAAAAAAATCTATAATAAAACAGAACAAGTGCTAGATATGCTGTCATGAGCAGTTTTGTAGTTGATTTTGTTTGTAAAATATTGTCTGTATTTGATTACAAGCCGTGGTGACAACAAACAAAAATTTAGCAATTGTCAATTGTAACCTCTCCATACGATGTTTACAAATAAACTTACGATAAGACAATTGTGTTAATCTGCAGACACTGTACTTTTCCTTTCTAATAAATGAAACGAATTATATAGTAAATTGAATAGGTAGAGACATTTCATATTGGTTAGATAAATGTTGTCACGTTCTTTGATCATCATTTCTGTATTATCATCAACCCGTAATATTTATGTTGCATTACTCAACAAAATATTAGCGCGGTAAGAAACCACAATTCAAATCGTGATACAGAATATCTAAAATTTAATTTAAACTGATTTCTCTAGAATGCATTACAATTGTTGAATATAAATAAATGAAAATGTAATTGTTGTTCGTTTGTAAAGGAATCATTTAAGGAGCGCTGGATCGGACTTTTTTTAAAGCCGAAAAAAGGATAAAAAGCATAGAAGATTCAAAAAGTCTTCTATGCTTTCAGAAGATTCAAAAAGTCTTCTATGCTTTTTATAAGCCGGAGAGTAATATTTGTTTCTTAATGCCCCTGCATCCTTTATCCATCTACAACTTCTAGAAAATCAGGAGAACATAAGCTTTATTCTTCATTGATTGTGCACTCTGGTACTACGGCATATTTGATAAAAATCTCTGTAACGCGTACTGGATGTTTTATCAGCGGTTTCCACATTGTTAGTTTGCCGAAGCACATTTTGCACGTATTTGTAAATACATCACTAACAATGTACACGACATTGTGAAAGTAAAATTTATCCGTCCGTTCATAAACCAGCAATAAATATGTAAACACGTACCTGGCGTAATGAAGTAAATGATAATATTAGATAACCCGAAAGTCGTTCTCAAAGAAACAATGAAAGATGTTCTAAGGGAACGAAGAAGAAACAATTGTATGAAAGTAAAAGTCCGATTGAGCATCTATTGTTCCTAGTTATGTTGATATTTACCATATCGTTACGCTTAAAATGGCTCTAATATACTGCTAAACAACCATAATTTAAACTTTAGTCAGATTAACAACTATGTGTCATACAAATAGAGTTTTTTCGATTTATGTACGGTATTCGTTATTGATAATCCAGATCTATTAAACGTGACTATTTGACTATTCTAGAGGTATATTGTTTAGTTACAAATACATTTTTCAAATATCTTGTGTTTTTGATGGTAATATCATTATAGTGCAGTATAAGATCAATTAAAATCTATCTATTGGCCCATAATGTTGAGTTTCTCTATCACTAAAAAGAGTTTCTTGAAGGTATACTTGATTTGCTTAAAGACGATTAATGACAATAATAATATTTCGTACATCTGATTAATCTCTGGTAATTGTTGGTCCAACTACTTACTGTTGTCTAGAATTTATCAATATATTGAGTGCATTTTCATTAACTTTTCTGATGACTTGAAATATCTGGGCTGAGTATCGAAAGGCCCCTACAAAAAAATTTTTCAGAAGAACGATTCAAACCGTTGAATAATTACATTTTACTAATGGGATTTTACTGGATTATGCTATTCTTATATGCGTTTTAAAGTTCACGCATATAATAATTATCTTTCTCTTTCCAAATTACTTGTCTATGCTCTAAACATTAGGTGAAACATAACACTGTGTAAGATTGCATTCCTAAACTATATTCAAAGCTGACTTATTTTGATCACAGATGGGCTGTCTCTACAGTGATGACTCGGCAGAACAATATACGAATGGCTGACGTTGACGTTACAGCTTTTATTCCATTATGGGATATGTGTAACCACGAACATGGAAAGGTATGATATATGTTTCTGGTAAATACGATTAAGATAATTTCTTAGCTCTGACAAATGAAATTTGGATTTTTTTACCATGAGACAAGAACCAGAGGTGTAGGCCATTTTTTGGCTTTACCACCAAAGACCGTCGATTTAGAACAGAAACATCGTTGGTTAATACATTCTGATTGTTACATTATCTGATTAGCCAAGTAAAAAGTGCAAATTCTGTACACATAATTGATTTATAAATTTAACTTTTTTTTGTCTTGGTTATTCCATTAAAACATTTACAAATCATGCCAATAGAACTTTAACCCCAAATAAAAATGTAGAGCTCGTGTAAGAAGTACGCGAAGGAGGAGCCGATAATGACTTTTGTGTATTTACATAATATTTTATGTGATAAACATTAAATAAAACTAGTTTAAGTTATTGCGTATCACATTACTACACATAGGCTTACATATATTATTGTAATACGCGCGCATTGACCTCTAAACTTCTATATTTTTTAGAGCCTGAATATAAAGGCATTTTTCATTGAGTTACCTCTATATATGTATATGATATATGTCTCTCGTCTATCTGTATAAGCTACTATTTTACATGTGTTTGTGTGTATATAATGAAATATATCCGTCAATGTTTATCTCCTTCTAAACTAATCTATAAATATATCAATATTAAGTTGGTTTGTGAAAGCTTCAAAAACTTATAATGCACCGATCCAGAAGAGAACCATCGACTTGAGACTAATATTTAAACCACTCAGCTATCATTGTTTTGTACAAACTCTAAATAAAAGTTATGAATTATTATTTATTAAATATAGTAATTAATTCTTTTCTATATCTCCATTGAAATGCTGTCACGCCTTTTTGACTTTGGTTTCATACTGAGTATTTATTAAATGTGTGAAAGCACACTCGCGCTCTCTAAAACATAACATTATGTCTTAAATCGAGTCTAATTGATCATTCGGTTTTACGTCAGCAGTTTAGTACATTAGATTAGAACCTGATCTTCTCTGTTTTAAATCAATAAGGCTTTATTATTTCCATCGCTCTAATTGTTGATAATTACTTTATTTAAATATTTATCATTTATTTTATTTGACCATGAGTGAAAGCAAAAGGAAAGTTATAACAATACGTATGTATATTCTGCAGTATTTTATTATGAATTGTCGGAATAGCTGTTTATTTTTTCAATTGTTCCGTTATATACGATAACACGACCTAAATGTTTAAAGTAAATAAATATGGTGTATTGTTCTAGATAACTACAGATTTCAACAAGGATTTGAACCGTGGTGAGTGCTATGCAGTCCGTGATTTCAAGATTGGCGAACAAATTTTTATATTCTACGGCGCTAGACCCAACGCGGACTTGTTCCTTCATAATGGGTAAATCCATATTATGCTTGTTATTTAGACGATTCGTAAAAGATTGTCTCACCTAACTGTTACGTTTTATAAACCCGTTTTCTAATTGTTAACGCACGACATTCATTTCTCCTAATATTTAATAATAAATAAACTAAATAATTGTTTTTGATTAAAATAAGCTGGTATGACAAGTGCTTAGAAATAAAATACTACATTTGTCATGATGTTTAACACAGCCGCTACCTTAGCGGAGCAACTCAAAGTGTACAAAATATCTGGTGAAAATTGTTGTAGATATAAGACAACGATTATATTCCTTTTTGGTAACAAGTCTTAAATTAAATTTCGAATTTGCATGCTAATTATATATTAAACTAGCTGAGACCCGCGGTGTTACCCGCATTTGTTGTTATAACCGCGGGCAACGCCGCGGGGCGAAGCTAGTCTAAAAAAACTAGCCTCAGTTACTCCTTATGTCATCAGCTTTCTGCCAGTGAAAGTCCCGTTGAAATCGGTCCAGCCGTTCCAGAGATTACCCCGTACAAACAGACAGACAGACAAAAATTGTAAAAAATGATATTTTGGTATATGTACCGTGTAAACATACATATGCATTTAGTAAAAAGCGATTATTTTAATATTACAAACATACACTCCAATTTTATTTATTTGTATAGATTCAAATAACATGTTTTGTATTATACATACAACTTATTCCGTGTATGCGACTGTTTGTAAGGAAGGAATATTAGACAGATACAAACATAGTAAATACAGAAAATGTACCAAAAAAATGAAAACATCACATGTCAGGCATATGTTTTAAATATGTATATTTAAAACATGTGCCTACAGAATGTAAAGGCACGAAGAAGTACCCCAAAAACCAAAATATTAATAGCTTAAACTCGTTTTCTTAGTTTTAATTTATTTTACTTTCTGCTCAAATTTGTTTTTTAACGTTAAGTTATTGAGATGCTTTTGTTAAACTTTTGATCTGACTTGATTTGACTTTGTTGTATTAGGTCACTTTTACCTATTCAGTATTATTAAATTTGCTGATTTTGAGCAAATACAATTCAGTTCTTACTTTAGTAAAGTACAAAGTACTTCCACAGAATAAAGTTGAAAAACATTCGAATCAATAAAAAGTAAATAAACAATTATTCACAGTACAATATACTTTCTACCATCTACTAATTAGTTGGCATTTAATTAGTAGCTGTTAGAAAGTACTGTCTAAAGATTATTGCGGTCCCATGACTTGCGTAATACGCCATAGGAAATACATAATTTGTCGCTGTCAACGACACTACCAAATGTACCTACTTTATAGTACTTTTTTAATTTCCTTCTATTTAATTCTGTTTAAAAAATATTAATTAACTAGCTGATATCCGCGACTTCTTTTTTCGTGTCGAAGATTAGCGGGAACAAACGGACCGACAAAATTAAAAAAAACTGATTTTTAGGCATAGATATCGTGAAAATACTTGAGCTTAAAAATTATTATTTTTAATTATTTATTTAGATTAATTAATATATCTGTATTTGGATATCCACTTAAATCCATTCGTCAATCATCCTTTATGACAAAAGTTCAATGTTATGTCTACACAAGCACAATAATAGAGGTTAAAAAAAAGTGTGTGTGTGTGTGTGCAATTGAACCCCTAAGGCAGCGTTTTTCAATTTACAACACCACACACATATTACGGGTATTAAATAAAAAGAAAAATATTTACAAAACATTATAACTGTCAAAATATTATATTGAAAATAATTTGTAATGTATGCTATCTCATTCTCTCGCCGACTTAATCGTATACATTAGACATAGACATATAGACATTAAGACGGATTAGGAATGTCACCACCCCTATTCATCCCGTGGGTGTCGTAAGAGCCGACTAAGGGAGCAAACTACACAGGACGACAGCACTGCTAAGAGAAGGAAAACTTGAAACAAACACTATACCAACCCGTTTGGCCAGCGCGGTATGGTAGGCCAAAACCTCCTATCTAAGGAGAGGCCTATGTCCTGCAGTGGACTGTTATAGGCTGTTGGTGGTGGTGGTGGATATAGACATAGACTTATATTTATTGCATAACACTGTGTACTAATAAGGGTGTTTTTACATATGGGTCTAACAGTTATATATATAATAGTATAAGGGCTTAACAGTTACCCAGTTCAGGTGTTGCAATTTATGTGAAATCAAATTAAAAATAATAATAGTTTATTGTTTCTCTCACACAGTACGGCAATACATTAGTCAAAACAAAATAAAACAAACATTCATTAGACAATTGCAATGGTTCTATGTGAAAGACTGGTATCTGTACTAGGACAGACCTGTATGACAGATTACCAGCCAAATTGAATACATAATTAAATGATACGGCTACACTATTTTAGCATCAAAGAATTCTCCAGCCTATAGAACACATTGTTTGTTAATCACTTTTTTTAACTATTTCTGAATATATTTCCGTTTAATTTTTTATGTCTACGGGAATGTGATTAAATACACGTATAGCAGTGATATATGTGCTTTTGTAGTAGATGGTATTATTAATGTTAGGTATGTTAATATTATATCTTTTGCGAATATTTGTTTTTTGAATTTGATTTAAATTGGAAAAAATTGGAATTGCATTTTATGAATAGGCAAAGCTATATATATATGTATATATAGATGCCTGTTAATGCCATTTATGTGTTTGTTTCTTTATCGTGACGCATTTTCGTTTCATCGAGTTTTAAATCACAACGTTTCTAAAGAAGTTTCACTTCAAAAAGATACGTGTTTGCTTACTTTTAATAAAGAGAATAAAAGACAGTCTGACAATAGGTTTATCATACAAGGTATACTATTTTCGCCGGATGTATAGAACTCACAAAATACGAAAATTTTACAACTAACCCGGCAATTTGTTTATTTATTTTCAGATTCGTTTATCCAAACAACAAACACGACAGTCTTACCCTTTCCCTCGGCGTGTCTGCAAACGATCCACTACACGACATTAAATTGTCTCTTCTAAACAAACTTGGTCTGGCCGGTGTTACTCACTTCAGCCTATATGCTGGAGAAAATCCAATAAGTGCTGAGCTGTTGGCTTTCATCAGGATATTCAATATGAATGAAGGTAAAGTACTATTGGCCTAGATATAATAATGACTGGATTAATAAAGGACGATCTATGCAAAAATTATTTGATTACTTTTTAAATCTTTTGACATATATATTATATTGATTTTCTGCATCATAATTAGGCTTTGGCATTCTGATTTAAGCTTCAATCAGTTTTCGAAACTGTTAAATTTGATCTCAAAATGTCTGAAGTAATTATGACACCACTGTTAACTTAACCAGCAATATTAGTTAAACAATGTTTTCATCAGCCTTTTCAAACTATGAAAGCCAATGACGAACCAGTGTCCAATACATAGATCATTTACTTTATAAGTTCATAACCAACTGTGTCCTAAATGCAAGTACACAGTAACACATATATCGGACTACAAAACGCGGTGGGACGTATAATTTTTTTTCTGTTCAAATGCATGCATATCATTCACATCTTTTCTATGATAATAATAATTATAAGAAAGAAGGATGCCCTAAGTGGGCAGGAATGTATACCGTTTCGTACTGGTTTGAAGAAGTATAGTATCAAGTCATAAAATACGCATTTATATCTAGTGAACAATAGGGTAATGGTGGTTCGGGTAGGGTAAAATAGATTAACAATGTTACATTTATTGTAATTACGTGTACACGTATGTACGTACATTGGGCGCTTTGAAGGAATACTGACCTCAGTATATTATATATTATAGTATCATTTTGAGCAATATGTATTTTCATTTATTCAACCATTTATCATTGCAGAGGAGTTAACTAAATGGTCAAAGCAAGGACTACCTAGTGACCTGGTGTCATCAGAAGCTTCGAGTGCTGAAACTGTGGGTGCGCACATCGATAGACGCGGATACACTTATTTGCTAACGAGGTGCAAACTCATCGCCGCTTCGTATAAAAAGAGCAATGATGACGTTGATTCTTTACATAAGTAAGTTGTACAAATGCATTAGTTAAAAGTTTATAAAACAACTTATTGACGTTTAATTTAGGTGGCAGCACTTGTGCTGGAGTCATTCTTGACTTATCATTATTTTGTAAATATTTTCAAAACTCTCAAAAACAATTTATTTCACTCGATATTATTAAATAATGTAACGTAGAAATTTCAATGACGAATTGCATTGTCCTTTGTGTATGTTTTACAAATATTTTGGTGACGTTAAGATAACAAGCCTGAACAAGACATATTTTGACAAATAACGAACATATTATCCTGATAATTATTTTTACACATTGTTTTTAAATTATATAAAATGAAAAAGAAATTAAAAAGAAATCGTCCTATCGCTGATATGTCGAAATAAACGTTTCTTATTTATTCATTCATGAAATTGATTAAATTATACACAAATACAGCAGGTAAAGAAAACATGGTGGTTATTAGTGCAGAATAAACAACTGACATTACATAGATGTTTCATTTAAAGGTGTAGAAGTGTTTCATAGTTAAATAAATGCAAATATTCAGTGCTTATTGTACTTGATAACGTAAGGAGTTGCACACCTCCGTAGCCACTATCAATAGTCATAGGTGTTAAAATACAATATCCATATCAAATGTGTTTCGATATCATCGTTTATTGGGTTTTACTTGCACTGATCCCCCACAGTACTAATGCTGTTTTGAAAATGTTAGGGCGTTCTTTACTTGCGAGTAAAACCTGTCAAACTGATAGATTACCTCCCTTTAAAGAGAATTTTACATATGATATTTAAAACGTTATTAAGGTTAACAATAAATATTAATAAAATGTACTTACAAGGAACTTTTCACATTTCGATATTCAGATGAGCAAAAATCCTTATTTGATGAAAGAAAATCTCCAAATTGTGTCATACAACATGTATACCCAATATAATAAAAAAAATACCATTGCAAATGTTTATTCGCAGATATCGCACACAAGGTTTAAAAATTATTGTCATAAATGTCATTTTAAAGTGACTTTTACAAATAATGTTACCTATATCAATACTCTAATAAACTATCTACTAATCTCTAATAATAAACTATCTTACTAAATTTTAAAAATGATTTCCTTTTAATTTTCAGGAAAAATATCAAACTGCTAAAGGAATGTGAAGTACAAATACTAGATGGTGCCATTAAGTATTTAGAAGAAGTTCTACGTAAACTACCCACCGTGGAAGATACAACTAATTAATAATTTTATTATATTTATTAATATATTAAGGTAATCTATAAGAAATAAATCATGACAGTATTTCTTTTAATAGATCATGAATATTAATCAAATTTATTATTTTAATTTTGTGCACCGCACTCGATGTAAAATATTTTTATTCGTCGTCGGACAAATTACTTTCACGAACATAGTCGTAGTAAAGACCCTAAAAGGTAATGATGTGATTAAGATGGTACACACTCCTACATTTTATTTGAGCAGTTCAACATCTGCACAAATAAAATGTAGAAATAAGATAGACAAGAGCAAGAGAGAGATCTTAGTGTTTTTGGAACTCGATTTTTACAGAGGCTCTGGATAATGAGATGATGTTTTGTACAAATCATATGAATTATCAACCTATCAATTCGAATAATATATATCAAGAAGTTAAATGAGCTGTTATTGCTCTCTTTGATTTCTATCTAACAAAAACATGTTTAATTCTGCTTATACTCGTATTTATATTAATCTATTGCCCTTACATAACGTACCTTCTATAAGACAAAGGCATAATTACACTTTTTGAAATTTTACAGGAGAGCCATTTGAATTTTTTTCTTACATTCAACTTTATTAGGGTTCTTTTGTCAAAGACTATTCTTTTATAATGTAAAGTTTCATCATGGCTATAATGAAATGTCTAATGCATTTTATATAAAAAAAATAGCTTCATGCTTTATTCCTCTCCATATAAACTTTAACTGTGTCAAATCTCACGAACATCCGTTACGAAAGCGAAAACTTTCTACCCCTTTTTAAGTTTTCGCTTCACGTATTAATATATAGATAAACCTCTCTATTATACACTAATATTAAGAGAAGAGAAGTAAATTCTGGTATTATGGGGCTAGTACAATTGGCGTCCTTGTCTATGGCACTGTGGCTATCTACAAGTGGCCAATATAATTATTGCCTTGTCAATATAATTATTGTTAAATTGGCCTTGCACTATTGTCTTCTATTTAATTACTGGTTAAAAAAAACTGGTTTTATTTCATGTTACAAAAATACCAAGTGTATAAGCAGGGTCAAACATGTTCATATTGTCCAATTACTTGGGGTGAAATAAAATCTCAAACAACTTATAAATCATATGATTTATAAGCATAAAATCACACCTATGTCTAATGTAAACCACTACGACTTATGATTATGCTAGCGCCAGACTACCGAAAGGTCTATATCTAAACAAAAACATATTCTTTGACAAAGATTGTTTTTTTTTCTTTTCCTAAGTTTTTGATGGTATTTATCTTTGTCTGTAGTAGTGATTTATCACAGGTGAAAATCGCGGTGTCTAAAATCAATAATTTCATCATATGATTATAATTAAAAAGTAGCCATAATTTCCACAGTCACAGCTCTGCTCTTATTCGTGTTAGGTTTCATACACAATGTATGAGAAAATTAATTCTATTCAAAACTTTTATCGTGAATTTTTAAAGTATTTTAATAGTTATGCTATTCGGAGCGGAGATAAATAAAAAAAATCAAACAGCATAAAAATCGGTCCAGCCGTTCTTAAGTTATAAGTAGTATAACTAACCCGTTTCTGTTGTTGTTTTTAATTTTTAAGAAAAAGCACTGCCCCTTTCTTTAATCAATAATTTTAGTTAGTGATGCAATTTATTATCTTGTGTGCGATATACATTTATTTTATTTACTTAAACTATACATCGAATTTTGAATAACTGGGATTATTGTTACATTATAGTGTGTTTATTGTTGTTTATTTAGTTTGTACTTAAGTTTGTGTGCAATTATTTAATATATTTAATGTGTTCTTATATTTTTTTTCGTTTTCTTACATTCCACCTTATGTTTTAGAATTCCACTTAGAATTTTTCTTGTTATATTCCTTGGTCATCACTACAAATACGTCATAATTATATGAATTTTTCGTTTCTGTTGACCGACTGTGTTCGGGACAATTAAATAGTGTTGTGGAGAAACATTTTACTTTATAAACGATTGAAATAATGACAATTTACTGCCCAATTTCACTATTAATAATAATAAAAAACCTCTTTTAGATAGTTGTGATGCAAACCGATTCCTGAACATTGTAATAAATGTTGATGTTTTCAGGTAAGATTAAAAAAAAATCGTAGTAATAATGGTACTCCTTCTGTTTAACTTTACACTAATTGTAGTTAAGTTGTAAAAAACAGAGCAGTCACCGTAGCCGAAATCAGCAAGGAAGAGATATTTACTCGTAGATATAGTCGTTGACTGCACGGATGGCGTAGTGGTTTAAGTGGTTGCCACGCCGCTTCCTACTACGCCGAGTGTTGTGGGTTCAAACCCCAATTGGGACGACACTTTGTGTGATCCACAAATTGTTGTTCTGAGGTTGGGTGTTCTTTGTGTCCGTTTCATGTGTTTGTAAAGTCCCCCGCGATACTGGAAATATTCCTAATGCTGGTAAGTTGTATTTAAAAAAAAGTAAAGTTTTACGTTAAGCGTGATTAAGAATATGGAGTAACAATCACCCCTACAAAAGAAGGAAATCTTAAAACAATCCTATACCAACCCGTCTGGTCAGCGTAGTATAGTAGGCCAAAACCTCCTTTCCAATGAGAGCCCTATGTCCAGCAGAGGACTATTAAAGGCTGTTAATGATGATAATGACGTTAAGTAAACATTGTAACCATTTGTTTTAATTCAGCCATTTGCAAATATCAACTGAAACACTTGTATCAGTTTGAAATAAAGTAATTCAGCTCTAATAATTTTACTTCTGTTGTTAAACATTCGCTTTAATTAGTCGCAAAGTAATAAAATCTGTTATTTATGTAAGTATTGTAACATTTATTAATAAAATATTAGTAGCGCGCCCATCGCATCAACATTTTATTTGTTTTCCCACTTACCTTATTAAATCGTGTGAAGAAATGTCCACAGTTGTGTGAAATGTTAGTGTTCACATAAAGCCTATACCATACTCGTACTAAGGTTCACGTTTTACTACCATAGGTCACAAACACCATTCAAAAACTTATCAGTGCATCTCCCTTATCGGTCAGCTGAACAGATAGAGCTAAAATCGCGTTGATTACAGATTACAAGGGTTTGTATATTTACAATTAAAGAAGAACTTTTAGCGCCTGTCAGTAACAGAAGGAACAAAACGGTTTTATTAAGTGTTAAGTGTGTTTTATAGAACTTTACTCACATGACAGGAAATTCAACAATTGCATAAGAAAGGTAAGGCCCTTGTTTCGGTTAATTTACGTCAACATCTATAGCTATTTATGTAATCGTTTAAATTGATATGAACTCGACACCCATTCAATATACTATATATGGGTGTTCGTTCGATAGCTTGTTGCGTTGGGTGCGTAGATAAAATAGACGTAAGACTGTATATCGTGAACTTGTGTAATTAATCAAAATTTACATTTGTACATTGCAAACATGTTTAACGTGCGGTTGTTACAAAAAGTCTAAGTATATAAGCCGTACATTAGAAATCCCTTTTGAAATGGTCACTGTGTAGAAACGTCTCTCATTGGCGGAACACATATCACATCATTTACACGTGCGTTGATTGGTGCGTAGACATGCCCCCGGCCTTGGAAGAAGCAGCTTCCAACGGGAACAAAGGACAGAGTTTTGAGAATGCTCGCCTCACAATGCCCTTTTCTGTGCGTACATCTGCCACCCTGGAAACACCATCCTTGCCTGGATAAGTAGTCACAACGCGTCCAAGTTGCCACTTCATCGGTGGCGTACAATCCTCTTTGATGATGACCAGTGTATCTTGCTGTAAGTCCCTGCATTTGTGATTCCATTTACTTCGAATTTGCATTTCTGAAATAAATTCTGTGCTCCACCTCTTCCAAAAATGTTGCCGAATTTGTTCAACTCGTTGATAGCGAGGAAGTCTGCGCATGTCATCTTCAGCTATCTTTGGGTGAGCACATAATGGAGAAGTAATCGGACGGCCTATGAGGAAGTGAGCAGGACTTAAAGGAAGGAGATCATTTGGATCAGTAGACAATGGTGTTAACGGACGAGAGTTAAGCATACCTTCAACTTGTGTGAGTACTGTATTGAACTCTTCGTAGGTCAGATGTGCATTACCTATAACCCTCATGAGACAGTGCTTAGAAGATTTAACGCCAGCCTCCCATAAACCACCAAAATGAGGGGCATACGGAGGAATGAATTTAAACTGAATATTTTCACTATTAGCGTATTCTACAATATCTAAAGAACATGTTTTCAAAAATGTTTGAAACTCATTCTTTAAGCCTACAAAATTCTTTCCGTTGTCGGAAAATATCTGTTGTGGTTTTCCGCGACGCGATATGAAACGCTTAAGTGCCAGTAAATAAGCTTCGGAAGTTAAATCGGATACCAATTCCAAATGTACAGCGCGCGTAGCAAAACATATGAATAAACAAATATAGGCCTTAAACGTCTTAGCCCCCCTACCTCTGCGGCTCATTATGTACACGGGGCCGGCGTAGTCGACGCCACAATTGTAGAAAGGAAAACTAGCGGTAATTCTTTCCACGGGTAAGTTACCCATGAGTGGGGTAAATGTTTTACCCTTAAAACGAGTACAAGTAACGCATTCATGAACCGTTTTTCGTGCTAGATTTCTACCTCTGAGTGGCCACCATGCTTCTCTTAAATTAAAAAGAAGTGTCTGGGGCCCCACATGTAACATTTTTTTATGATGAAAGCGAAATAACAAAATGGTAAACAAATGTTTACTGGAGAGTAATATAGGATGTTTTTTGTTAAATGTAAAACACACAGAGTTACATATGCGGCCACCTACACGAATGATGTTTTGATTGTCAATAAATAAATTAAGTTTTGACAAATAGTTTTTGTTGTTTAAGCAGCCATTATTACTTAATATTTTATGTTCATTTGGAAATGATTCTAACTGACTGTATTTGACTAAAACTGATTCTGATTGTCTCAGTTCCTCCACAGTGAGAATTCCACTACGCCTGTTG